TCGACTGGGTCTTTCGCACGCCAACACTCAGATTATTCCATGCCAAAGGCCCAAAAAAGAAAGCAAAGACAAACAAGCGTCTAGGTTCCACAAGCGTCCAGGTTCCAGAACAACTAACGGCCCTCAAGGGTCCATCAAAAAAACATTGGGGTAACTTCCACAAGAACCAACAGGAGGACGAACACGCCGAAGTTTGGTACATTTGTATAAATGTCGCATGCGCCTTGAACACCTTCATACCTCTGCTGCCTCCCAGGCGAAGGACAGAGCAGGCCCGATCTCCGTTCCGAGATCGATGCAAAGGATGAGGAAACTGTTGATGGCCGCCGGGATGCTGAGCGAAACGTACAGGAGGAAGGGTATCACCTGCGCCACAAACGCCATGCACGCAAGATGAAAACAAAACGAAACATGAAAAATGCGACAAAGCGGGGTTTCACAACGCCAGCGGTGAGTTGATACAGCCAGCCCTGAGCAACGTGGTGCTCGATAGCATCCCCGTGGGAAGGCGGAGTGAATATTGAAGAGCTTGTGACATGTCCTGAAACAACACATGTCCTGACAATACATGTCCTGAAATAACATGTCCTCGGATATTTGTGAATCAGGTGGTCACGGCAATTGCGTAGCCATGCGTAACATTGTGTTTTGGTGCAAGGGCGAGGGTGCTTTTCGCTCCATGCGGGGCAAGGACATGGTTTTCCGAGGCACGACAACGACAAAAACGAGCCAATGCCCCCAACATATGCCGGCAGTGCTGACGCAACCTGTTTCGACAAAATGCTGGCAACAAATGAATACACGAAGAGCAGAGAAAACATCAGGTTCCGCCATCCCCTGGACAACCAAAAAGGCAGTAAAGTGCCTCGACCAGGTAGAGGCTTGAGCTTGTTCGACACGCAAGTGCCATACCCAACGAGTGAAAACGCGCGAATTCGCGCGACAGATTTGGGCGCGTTTCTGCACTTTGAGACGTGCGACCACGCCGACTCACCTCCGGCACGATGTGGCAAAGGGTGTACATGATGCTTTTCTTGAGGTTGTTGAACACCAGCCGCCCCTCTCGGATGCCCCTCACCACGCTCGCGAAGTTGTCGTCCAGCAGGATGATGGACGCCGCCTGTTGTCATTCCGCAGGGATTGATCCCCGCGCGGGCGGGAAACGGCCACGGCGGTAAGCACGACGACGAGCAAGAACAAAAATGTGAGGGGTGTTCGGAGACAGGAAGGAGCACGGCTGACACGACGAGCGACTTTCACGAAATGGTGGCGTTTTTTAACGAAATGGTCACGCATGCACTGTACCGGTAATACAACACGCACACGCATGAATACAACACACAAACACACAAGTTCCATACGCACACATGCAACACAGTGACTCGCGAGGGCAGCACGCCATGCCGCGGGAAAAAAGAAGCCCTTCAGCAAAACGGGGGGAACGGGGGGTGAAGGGGGGCCAACGCAGAAACAAAAAAAAATAAACTCACCTCCTTCGAGACGTCGGAGCCAGTGAGTGCCATGGCGATGCCCATGTCGGAGCGCTTCAGGGCAGGGGAGTCGTTCACTCCGTCCCCGGTTACGCTAACGATGTGTCCAAGAGCCTGAGGGTGCAGCACGAACGAACGAACGGAAACAGATTTAACAAGGGGTCAAGCACCACATTATCCAAAACCGAGAGCACGCACGCATGGAGCCGCACACCAACAAGCGTCAACAGCAGGAAGAAACAAGCCAATGACGAGAGCACACCAAGTGCGCGCCCACCTAGAGAAAAAAGTTAAAATTGGTACACAACAAGACGGACCCATTGCTGCTAAACGGGCGACCTGGTACAAGTACAAGGGTTGTGAAATTGTGTCCGAGTCCTGCTGGAGTGACTCATGCAAGAACTCCCAAGACGCTTTCTCGGCAGTCGAACAAAGGGCACGTACAAACACGGCAAAGGCGACAATTACAATATGCCCACCCTCAGACAACTTCTCGGAAGCGCGCCCGCAGCGTACACAACAAATCTGCTCCAGCACACGAGCCCGTGTGCAAATCAATGCTTCTATAACGCACACCGTGCGTATGTACCTGGAATCGAGTGACGATCTCCAGCTTGTGCTGCGGGGTGGTGCGTGCGAAGACGATCTCCTTCTTTGAAAGAGTGCGATCCCTGTCAAAATAAAAAGAGAGAAACAAGACAATACCGCGGGACGAGGTTTCATTTCATTTCACATCGAAGAAATCGCTCATCAAAATTTCACATCGAAGAAATCGCTCATCAGAAATAAACATGACCAGAAGTCAAGCAGGGTCCCCCGATGGTCTCCACTGATTACATGCGAGGTCTTCGATACTCGCGTCTGCAACACACCGAGCGGAAAAAAAAAATAGCAGTGACCAGACGCGACGCATATTATCCCTAATCTACATGGTCAAGGAAAAAAACGTTTCTGCCGTCCAGGACACACAAAAGTGACCAGACTTGACGCATAATATCCCGGACATCAATGGTCAAGGCAAAACATGCCTCGGTCGTCCGTCCAGGACACAGACAAAACAACCACACATCAGGACACCCGACCGGTTCAAGTTTCTTCGCTGGCCGCTGCCTGAGAACCCGTGTGGCAGAGCTCAAGAAAATGTCTATGAATCCATACCTAATTCACAACAAAAATAACAAATAATCTCGACCTTGCCCCGTTCACCGGCTTTCACCCGCGAAACGTGTGAAACTACAGTGACTGGCGGTGTCGCCGGTTGTGAAGCAACCTTGAGAAAGACGACAATTTTCACTGCTTCTCCCATTGTGTCATGTGGAACGCAAAACCGCCGTCCGAAGTACACTAAAATCTATATTCTTGGAGAGCCGCTCTTGCATATCACATGGCCCCAACATGGCCGGCGACGTCGCTGTTCAAACCAAAGTCCACCAAGTTCTGTGGCTAAAAGATGGCGACAGGGTATCCACTGATCAATTCGTTGGCTGAGAGTGAAACTGGCTGCGAGACGAATTAATCCAGTCACGTGCGCAGACCGGCCATCATTTGGTAGCGACGGATGCGAGATTGAATTTAGCGCGAATGCTACAACCAGCCACATGATTCGACTTTCAGCACGTGTAGCGTTCAAAACAGACGTACTCGAAAACGTTCCCGTTCGCGGACGGGTCTAAGACAAGAACGTATCACCGGTTCTACCGGAGGTCCAGCCCACACGCGCAACACCCCTGCTCGGCAAAACTTCACGCATTAACATCACCGTGAGTGCACGCCTCCACGGTCCCAAACAAGCGTGTCACTCCTGACGTGACTCCTTTCACCCTCACATTCACTCCCTTCATCCGGGGAATAGGTGAGTTACTAACAATTTTTGTCCTCCCACATCTCCATCGCCTGACTTTTCTCACTCGATCTACCGGACGAAAAGGGTTTCAAATTTATTTCGAATTCACTCGATCGTGCCCTCAGAATGAAGATTGGGTTCACTCGATCGTTCCCTGAGGCTGTTTGGAGTTTCCCCAAAGCTCACGCCATCCTGCACAGACTGACGTCAACCGGAATCCGGAATTTTACTCCACTTACTCCATTCACTCGACCCACCGGGCTTTCTATGTCGAATTGGGGCTTTCATACCAATACATAGCAATATCGTAAAGCATGCGTCAGATGCTGTGAAGATAGCTGGAAACATCACCCTCCACCCCTCCAACCTGGACACTGAAAAAAACAAAAAGGCCTTTAATAAAAAACATATTTGCTGCCTGCACAAAGTCACCGAGCAGATGATGCTGTGCTTGGAACAAAACAGGAACGGGAGCGACAGTTCGTCGTGCACGAAACCTCAGAACCCGATACTGTCTGGGTCGGATGCCGCTCAGCGTAAAACGAACTTGTACGCGACGGAGGCAACTATAACGAATACATAATCCAAACGGTCACCAAGAGCTTCCAGCAATTCACATCTTACGATCCTTCGGCTCCGTCGTCGTCGTTATCATCATCACTTTGGTCCGAAGGTCAAAAATAAATGACGTTGGCGATGAGCCCCACTCACCATTCGTCGGGTGTGAGTTCGTCGATCTGGTCCCCGTGCAAGATGGCGCAGTCATAGTCATCCTCGCCCACCTTCAACGACAAGCCAAGAAAAGCCGAAATGCGGCGAAAGTGAGCAATTTTCCAGCGGTTGTAGAGAGCAGAGGGACAAGCACCAGGGGTGAGGACGTCACCGGAAGAGGAGTCAGCGAGATACCAACGAACAGCACATGGCACGAGGCGGTCATACGACAATGTTATGGCCAGCAAAACATACGGCTACAACAAACGGGTTTGGCAACAAGCCACAAAAAAAAAAGGAGTGATCTATCGCTGCCGCAGAGACGCCAAAAACACTTCTATTGAGGGTACGGTTTCAGCGAAATACCACACGAAAAAAGCGAAAGCGAAACATACGGCAGTGATGACGGCCGACACACGCAGAAAACAACCAAAATGCACCAACGTGCTGTACTGCCCGAGATACCGCGTGCCACGACACCCACCTCCGCTTCGGACACCATTAGCCTCGCCGCGACCGCTGCCTTGGACGTCCCCTTGATGATGCCCACCTAGTTATTGTTTCGCGATGTTTTGTGGTTTCGGTTATCAACGAACGGTGTGGAAAACTGTGTTTTCGCGAAAACGAGACCAAACACGCCGCGGTCCTTCGCAATGGCCAACAGCAACAAAACTCTCGCCGTCATATGAACACGTATCGACCACCACGGTCAAACAACGGCAGCCAAGTTGAACCACGAGCAAACGACTAAGGTCGACACAACACCAACATCAAGAACAACAGCAGCCACAACACCTGTCGAGCGATCGCCTCCGCCGTCAGCGGGTGGTCCCCAGTGACCATCACCACCTGCACCCCCGCCGCGTTGCACTCCTCGATGGCCTCCCGCACCCCCGGCTTGGGTGGATCACGCAGCCCCACGAGGCCAATGAAAGACCAACCTGACAAATTGGCAAACACAATACCGCACCATTCATTCCAATCCACCAATCCGCGAACGCAAGCACGTGGCATCAGAAGCGAGCGAGTAGGGTACAAGCAGGTCGTAGGTTGGCGGTGAAAATCACGCCGGTGCTTCAAAAGAAAACCATCTGCATGCCACCTTAATAAACGGACAGGTACCGTGGAGGGGTGAAGAGAGAAGGGTCAAACGCGGGGAGGGGCAGCCACGATACGCCCCTGTTTCCAGACCGAAGCCCTTACCTTCGAAAACGGGGGGGGGGGGGGGGGGGGAGGCTGCAACCGATGCTACGACACATGCAACGCCTACCCGAAGCCAAAGCCACTGTCTGCATGTGCGATACACGCGTTATTACGCCAATGACAAGCTACGGTGAGCCAACCTGCAGACCTTGACAAGCAATAGCGTCGGTCATCTTCACAACGACGAGATACATCCGAGCAGTGCGAAGTTAGATGGACTCATATTCCATCACACAGCCACGCAGACGATAAGCTCTGGTTTGCGCCTACTGCAGCAGTTCTACTACGATACGATGCGTACGAGAAGCCACCCTACGCCTCACTTGACACGCCTTTACCAGCGCTATTCGCGCTGCGTTATCAACGACGGCATTTATCCCACCAGTGACAAAACGACACGAGTGAGATGACTTCGTATTCCATCTCAAACCCGCGCATACGATAAAGCTATTACGCACCTATCCAGTGGTAGTCCCTTTTTGGTGCCGGTTGAATAGTGCCAATGCCCGGTGTTTTCGGCGAGCACACACATGACTTCCCCAAGTCGTTGTCAGCGCATTGAATAGTATAGCGCCGGCGAATCTTCTGGGCACATACCGGCACCACAAAACTACACGAGCGAGATGACTTCGTATTCCATGTCATACCCACGCATACAATAAGCTACTACACACACCTTCTTGCGGGAAGTTAGCGTCATCGAACTCGAAGTCCTCCGGGAATTCCGCCCCGTCCAGCGGCATCATCGCGCAGGCCAGCACCCTCTCGCCGCGGCCGGCCAGCTCCTCGTAGGCCGCCTGGTAGCTAACCTCGAACGCGCGGTCCAGGGCAACGAAAGGGGCGTCCTCCGCCTGGCCCTTGCCCAGGGCCGAGGAGCACTTGGCCAGCACCCTTTTATTTGGAGAACGCACAAGGTAAGGCGGCCGCGTGTGGACGAACATGACATGAGAGGCAGGTATGAGAACTCAAACTTGAGCCCGAGACATGGGAACGACGGTGCTGCTGCATGGTACAAGCCTGCAGTATTACACGTTCTCGGCCTTGCTGGCAATCTTGATAGTCTACATAACATCACTCTTCGCAGGCCGCACTTCGATCCAAGTGATATTTTGCCCTGGGGATAGAGAGCGTGTTGTCGACAAGGCTACCCCCCAACCGCTGGAGTTGGTCTGCTGTGCATCCACGCGCTATGAAGCAGCTACGAGAAAAAACGCGACTACTACGGTGGAGAAGGAGCCGACAAAAAATAGAACACGCCTCTCTTCACCTTTCGGGGGCTCCCTTGGCGAAGAGCGTCAGCGCCCCCTTGGAGTGCGGCTTGCGGTGGATTGACAGTGACCACTTTCGCCCAGAGTCGAACGGCAGGTCCATCACCTACCGGGTGTCGTTCGCCGAATTTCACTATTAAAAGCTTGCTCGGTGAAAGGCGGAGTGCTTCCACCAAAAAGGTCGGCATGAAAAACTACAGGAGTGTCATCAGTTCATCGGGCATGGAGTAGAACCAACACATAACCGCGCGTGTGCGAAATACTGCAGGTTTCATTATGCGTACGTGCAGATCGATTTCGCCGCGAACATAGAAAAAAAAAAAAAAAAGTGTTGAAAAGAGCATAAGTGATGACGCACGCTGAGTGCATGCGTACATCAGTTCACGACCTGAAATAAACAGAAACGAATATAGTTGCTGAAGCATCGTGCGTGGCCACGAAGCCTTTCCGAGAAAAAACGTTCTTGCGAATGGGCGTTGAACGCCGAAGTTGCTGCTGATCACGGTTTTTTCGGATTGTTGGTTCGCCGCGATCAACCTCAAACCTTGGGGTACTGGTCTCTGAAGGCGTCGACGTCCTCGTTGCCCAGCAGCCTGAATGCCGCGAACCTGACCAGGCCGCTCTCGGTGGCATCGCCGATAATCTTAGACTCCGCCCCGAACCCTTCCACCTGCCCGCCCGTGAACCTCGCTGTCGAGTTGAGAAGGAAGCACTGAGGGGATTTTCGATTGAATTTTTCGGGAAAACAAAGCGACGGCAACAGCGCGGAGGAAGCCGCGGCAGCAGTGAGTTCAGGTCATCGCCAGGGAGTAAGCAAAAAAGCGGGAGCGGCACCTGGGGCAGCGGTCAACAGCAAGCGACACTGCCGACTCTCGGGTCTCAACATCTCCCGCAGGCGGCCACAAAGATCGGACAAGGACTCCCTCCAACACGTACGGTACACCGACAAGAGGAAACAACCAGCACAACACAAGGGGACACAGCCTACACCGGCACAGAGCGCATCTCAGCCTGCTTTCAAAGTGTTTCTTACCTCCATCATCGCTGAGGCGTTTGGCGTGTCTCTGATGTCGAACTCCTGTTGATTGGGCGAGAGGGGCGGGGCGGGTAAAGGGATTGCATACGACGGAAGGAAGGCAGGTGCACGCAAGAGGCAGGCACGCGAGGTGGAGGACGGCAGGAAAAAACACGCAGAATGGCAGAATGACAGACAGCGTGTGTAGGGTAGCAGGCCCGAGGTACGCCGCAGAAGAAGGGGTTCAAGTTGCGTGTGTGGTAGACGGAGACGGGTGAGGGGAGCACAACCAACAGCCACACGCACACACATGGCAGATAGAAGTGTTCTGTGTTTTCAACCGCACTAAGACTGACGTCTTTTCATTGGTCAGCCGGTTAGCGCGGTCGATGCTAATAATAAAAAACACACACACACACACACACACACGATTTGGCCACCGTAGCAGCATCTCCAGCCCTCTCCATCACTCACCATACACCACCACGGAACTTCTCTCTCCCCTCTGGCACCACCAACCCTCCATAGGACACACGCAAAAGAAGCATCGGTGTATCTCCCCCAACAACAACAACCGAACGCATCGAAAAAAAAACAAAGAAGAACCGCCTGCCGCACTCGCAGCAAAAGCGCCAACAACGCGGCCACCCTCCCACCCACCTCCGGCGCGGCGCCGAAGCTAGCCCCCGCGTCCCTTGCCCCCTGGGCCGAAAGGCGCTTGCCATTCATCCAGACTTCCACCACGGTCATTCGGTTCATGGTAAGGGTGCCGGTCTTGTCCGAGGCGAGCAGGGTGATGGTGCCCAGGGTGTCCACCTGATGACGAGCGAGCAAAACAACGGAGGGGGGGCATCGGACGGCAACAGAGGAGCGAGGCATGGCGAAAAAGGTGAGGGGCCCGCACAATCAGAAAGTAGGAGGGGAGGGGGGGGGGGCACGAGATTGCAGCACACACACCTTCGATCGTGCAAGCCCGTTCTTATTTCTCCGGTACAGGAAGAGATCGGTCACCCCGACCCCCCCCTTTCCATTTATCTCCCCCTATTTAGCACTTCTCTGTTACTGAGACCAAATACTCAAGTGGTGGTGAATACACATGAGCGGGAAGAACAAACGAAAGAAAACGTGAACAAAAAACGAACACAAAAATCAGATGAACTCTCACAATAGACATTATTTTACGTTTTTTTGCTTACCGCGGTAAGGTCCTTGACCAGCACATTCCTATCCTTGAGCCTCATGGCCGCAAAGGTCAGGAGCATGGTCACGGTCGCCGGCAGGCCCTGGGGCACGAAAGCGACGAAGATTCCTGGGACGCCACCAGAAAACAGCGGCGCGGGAGTTCGGCCATGAAACAGAGACGATGTGAGACAAGAGGAGGATGCAAAACGAGAAAAGTGTATCTAGCAGCGACGGTTTGCACGATGCAAAACAAACAGAGAGTTGGGGGGGGGGGGCGTGATGACGCACGACTCTCTCTCTCTCTCTCTCTCTCTCTCTCTCTCTCTCTCTCTCTCTCTCTCTGGCAAA